TTATTATTGATCTTAGGGGAAAAGCTTTTAGTGTTCCACAATTAAATACAATGTTTACGGTGGGCTTTTTGTCAATAGTATTTATTATGTTGAGGTCGTTTTCTTCTATTCCTAGTTTGTGGAGTGTTTTTATGATGAAAAGATGCTGAATTTTGTCAAATTCTTTTTTTGCGTTAGCTGGATGCAATTTTTAAAAAATCAGGTGCTTTCCTTCCATTCTGTTGATGGAGTGTACTACATCGATTGATTTTCAATGGAGAATCATCCTTGTATTTGAGAAATATGTCTGACTTGGTTATAGTGTATAATCCTTTTAATACACTGTTTAATTCAGTTTGTAAGTATTTTGTTGATAAATTTTGCATTCATGTTCATGAAGGATATTAGTCTATAGTTTCCATTTTTAATAGTGTTTTTGTTTGTCTTTAGTGTCTGGGCAACGCTGGCCTCATGGGATCAGTTTAGGAAGTGTTCCTTCCTCTTTAGTTTGTTTAGATAAGTTTGAGAAAAATCGGTATTAGTTCCTGAAAGATTTGATAAGTTTGCTCATGAAGCCATCAGGTTCAGAACTTTTGTCAAGAGACTTGGTTACAATTCAGTCTCCTTTCTAGTTAGACTCAGATTTTTCTATTTTGGCCCAAACTCCTCTGTTTATGTGTCAGACTGCATACGTCTTCACTTTTATGAACTTAGAGTCCACATTCTGCTGCTTAGGTAACTTCTTCGGGCTCCTCCTCCTTATCTTCCTTTTTCTGCTTCTCTGCTTTCTGTTCTTTTGCCTCAAGTTGATAATTCATGCCCAAATCAGTGAAGCAATAGATACCTGCGATAATTAGGATTATACTGCACACCCAGTGTGTGTATTTGTAGACTGGGCATATGTCCTTGGGATGACCTAAAAGTGTGGCCCCAAGAGGACAAAACAGCATTCCACAATGTTCACCCATCCCGCAAGGCTAGCGAACCTTTCAAACAATATGGAGCTGTGCAAAATGCAGTCCAGATCCAAATATTGTATGTGCAGGGGTGAGAGTGTGCGTGACATGGTGGGGCGGGGCAAGGCCGAACGCTTGACCCCACGCTGTAGAGCTCACCAGACTTAATCTCTCCCTTATTTATGAAGGACCTTTTGCGTCCTATAGGATTCTTAACAGACAGTTTTATTTATTATTTTTTTTTCTTTTAGCACCTTGAATATATCAGTCCATTGTCTTTTAGCCTCCAGAGTTTTAGATGGAAAATCTTATCAAAGATACCTCATATGTGGTGATAACGTTTCTCTCTTGCTATTTTGAAGATTCTGTCTTTTGAAAGTTTGATTTTAATGTCTTTTTCTGTGGTTTTCTTTAAGGAGTTTATTGAACTTCTTGGATGACTATATTCATTTTTTTTTCATCATATTTGTAGAGTTTTCAACCATTATTTTTCAGATATTCTCTCTGCTCTTTTCTCCTTCATTTACCCCTCTGGAATTCCTACAATGTGTATGCCCAATGGTGTTTTACATGTCCCTTAGGCTGTGTTCACTTTTCTCCAAACATTTTTCTGTTCCTTACACTTGATAATTTCCATTTTCCTATCTATAAGTTTGTTAATTCTTTCTTCTGACTGCTCAGATATGCATTTGAATTTGACTAGTGAATTTTTTATTTCAATTATTGTACTTTTTAATCTCAAGAACTTATTTTTCATTTCCTTTTAGGCTTTCTCTCTCTTTATTGATATTTCCATTTTGTTTATCCATTATTTTCTTTTATTTTCACCATTTCTTCCTTTAGTTCCTTGAGCAACTCTAAGACAATTGTTTTAAAGTCTTTGTTTAGTATATCTACTGTCAGGTCTTTTCCAGGGACAATTCCTGTTTACTGTTTTCCCCTGACTGGGCCATATTTTCCGTTTCTTTGTATGCCTTGTAATTTTGTTGTTGTTGTTTTTAAAATGGACATTTGAATCTAAAAGTGTGGTAACTCTAGAAATCAGATTCTTCCTTTTCTCCAGAATTTGTTGTTTCTGTTATTATTTGTATTTTGTTTGTTTGTTTGTTTGTTTTTTAGTGGTTGTAGATTACTTCTGTGCAGAAGATCAGCCAAGTCTTTCCTGAGCCTTTTCCTGGATGTGCATGATAATTTTCTAATTTTTCCCAGTTTTTTGTTTTAATGGCCTAGTCTTTATTATTTATTTATTTATTTATGCTATGGAGCACATGCGCTCACCAAAGAGAGACAGAGGAAGAAACAGAGAAAGAAAGTGAGAAGTTACCCTCCTGGGGAATTGGCCATGTTGCACTCCCTTGTCCTCCACTCTCCTCCTGGGATTTTGGGCACACACACACCCGTCTTGTGTGATTTTCAAACCGCTAGGTTTGGGAATTGAACTGCCGTTGGCCATGTGGGAATCCAGCGCCTTAACCACCATACCACCTGCTGGCCCCAAGACAGTAATACTTTTAAAATCCATCTATATTTCACCATACTTTATAGGCAGTAGACTGCATATGTTGTAGAAAAAGAAGAGACTCGAATTTCAGAGTTTATGAAAGTTGGCTACAAGAAGGAATGAGGGGGCTCATATAAGTCTGGTAGGCCTCCAAGTGACGGTGATTTTTCTTGAGATACATAATGTCACAGGCACACTTGTGATGAAATGTTGCAATGGCCAAGTGTTACAGCTATGCAAAATATTCGTTGGCATTAATTTAGGATAGCTGCTGATTTCAGGAACTTTCACGAAGAATTCAGCTGATTTTTTTAATGAAGTATTGATTTAATTAATTTATTTTTATTATCATTATTATCCTTTAATTTGACCAGAGAGAAACAGAAGAGAGGGAAAGTGAGAAAACAAGGCACCAGGCTCGGGACTCTAACCCTGGTCAGCCATGTGGTAGTTCAGCACCTTAACCACCACACCGCCTACCAGCCCCAGCTGACATATTTTTTTAAAAGGATCATACTATTTATTTAGGGTGAATAAAGCATGAGGCTGTTTTTAGTCTGCTGGGGCTTTAAACTTTCCGCATTGCTAGTCTACATCTCTTATGAACAGGGATGCCCTCATGGATATGCAACTTGCACCTTTTTTTTCCCCTTTTTTAAAGTTTTTATTGTAGGGCATGTGTGCTCACCAGAGAGAGAGAGAAAGTGAGAAATCACTCTCCCCGCCCAGTGGGCATGGCTATGCTGCAATCCCTTCTCCAGTCTCCTATAGAGAGTTTGGGCACACACACACACATGCTTGGTGTGATTTTCAAGCCACTGGGTCTGGGGCTCCATCTGTGTAGCCAGACATGGGATCTAGTGTCTTAACCTCCACATCACCTGCTGGCCCACACCTTGTGCTCGTAGAAGAGCCTGGCCCTTTGTTTGATGTTCTTCTGTTGTCATCTTGAAATTCCTAGTACATTTTCAACAAGTGTCTGTGCACTTTGATTTTTGCACCGGGCCCCCAAAGTACGTAGCTGGTCCTGATGACGAGCTGACTTGGTCTTCCCTTACCGTATTTTATGGCTGAAGCATCATTTCCACAAGATGAACTATGGACCAGGTTAGGCGCAAGGACTGCAGGGAGCTGAAGCTGCTTCTGGCCAGTTCCTCTTTATTTCCACACGCGGCTAAACTTAGTATGATAGGAAAGGAAAGCAAGGGCATAGATTAGAAGCAGGCAGGGGCTACTAACAGCCAGAGTTTGTCCATTAATAACAACAGCAGCTGCTGCTACTCCTACTCCTGCTACGCCCACCACTGTGTCAGGCAGCCGATGTCTGCCAGGCTCTCGCTAAGTGCTTCACGCTCATTGTTCCCCTTAACTGAATCTTGCAACAACATGCAAAATGAGTATTATTTTTATAGAGGAGGCTTCTGAAGTTTCCAGTAATTAAATTGCCTTTCGTTACAGACGTAGAAATGGTCTTTTCCCACTCTCTGTCTTTACGAAGTTGCCAACCTATCTTGTCTGTTGGTAAAAGTGAACTGGAATCACTAATTTACGTACTTAAAAAAGATGCTTTGGCAAGAAGAGGGCTACCAACTGATGCTTGCATCCTTTATTTCCTACCTTTTATTAACATACAATTGTAGATAGGTGGTAGTGTGTAATACCTTTCGGATATACATTTCTTGCATTTTTCCCCATGGATACTATCTGTATTGTATACCAATACTGGGAGGGATTTCCCATGAAGAAATAGGTAGAACCTCCTCCTTCTCTCAGGAAATTATATCAATAAACACAGTTATCTCTTCTGTAAACCTCAGCCAAAATGACGTTCTGTTTATCGGCTATTTCTGTGTTTATTGTTTTCCTAGTTTTTCTGTGTGATTCTATTCTGCTGTAATTAAAAAATATTACACATGTGTTCTGGGTTTTTTTTAGATTTTTTCGAGAGAGATTTTTGCTATAGGATGCATGCATTCACTGGCGAGACAGAGAGGCAGAAAGCAAGAAGTCACTCCCCAGGGGGTGGTCACACCACAATCCCTTCTCCTCCATTCTCTCAGGACTTTGCGCATAGTGGCACACACACCTGGTGTGAGTTTTAAGTCACCAGGTCCAGGACTTGAACTGTGGTCACTATGTGGGAGTCCAGCAATAAAACCCTTATACCATCTGCTGGTCCCACACATGTCCTTTTAAATATATATATATATTTAATTGCAGAGGGTGCATGTGCTTGTCAGAGAGATAGGAAAGACAGAGAGAGGGAGAAGGAGAGAGGGAGAAAGCACCCTGCAATGGAGCGAGGTCATGCCACAATCCCATCTCCTCGATTTCTCCGTCTTTAGCTAGAGTTCGGGCATGCCCACACGATTGGTGAGTTTTCCAAGTCACGGGGACTGGGATTTGACTCATCATCAGCCATGTAAGGTCCAGCTCCATCAGCCACTGGGTCACAGGACCAGTCCTATGTGTTCTATTTTAATTTTGCATTAAAATAAAGTTGTCCACAATTTTTTAAACACAGAAATTCTGTCCTGGACTAACCCCAGTGATGTCTCCGACAGGAGAGTCTGTCTTGCAGCTGATGCCTCCAGGCTTGCCTCCAGTTCCGCATCCAGTCACAAGTACACTCCCCGGAGGGCGGTGCTCTACGTGCCTGGAAACGATGAAAAGAAAATTAGGAAGATTCCATCCTTGAATGTGGATTGTGCCGTGCTCGACTGTGAGGATGGCGTGGCTGCCAACAGAAAGGTAAAGTCGTGGTCTTAGGATGGGAAGAGAGCCAGGCTGGATTGAAATTTGATTCTCTTGGCATGGTACTACTTACCATTTGGAAAGAGTCTACTATACCTATCTTTTGCTATTTTATATACACACACAGATGCAGATATATATGTATGATTTTTTAAAAAATGTAGTCCTTATATGGATTCTGAATGTGTATTTCTTTCCTCTGAGAGAAAGGAAGAATTCAGCCAAAATGTATTCAAAATCATGACCTTTGGTGGCAGCAGGTGGCATGTAGGCAGTTGGAATCCCAGATGTGGTGGCTTGCTTTCTTATTTTCCCTCTCTCCCTCTCTCTCTCTGTGTGTGTCACTTTCCAGTCAAATTAAAACAAATAAATTTAAATAAAATAATTCTTAAAAACATCATGACCTTCAATAGCTATGACTGTGTGTATATAAGTAGACACTCCATTTAGGTCATGGTTTTGCTGGTTTAGGTAAATAAATGACCTAATTCTAAAATTGTGATATAAAATGTTCAGGCCAATAAGTACAGTTAGGGGTTTGTTTCTCCTTCTTGCCACAGGTATATTGAGTAGTGGTGTTATCTCTTCTGGGACAAGTGCCATAAAATAAAATGATTCCATGGGTAATCGCCACTTCCCCACTTAATTAAAGGGAAACTATATACAGAACTGTAAGGTTGGTTGTAGTTTCTGGCTGATTTCCTCTAACCACACCAGAGAAATGAGCTTATGAAGTATCCAATTTGCAACAGGTACAAATGGTTCTTTTATTTATTTTTATTTATTTTGTTTTTGCCGTAGGGAGCGTGTGCTCTCTAGAGAGAGAGAGATGGAGAGAGTAACAGAGACAGGGAAAGTAAGAAATCACCCCCTAGGGGGGATGGCCACACCATAACCCCTTCTCCTCCATCTTCCTCCTGGGATTTTTGGGCACTCATGCATACGTGCCCAGCATGATTTTCAAGCCACCAGGTCCAGGACTCAAACCACAGCCAGCCATGTGGGAGTCCAGCACCTTAACTACCACACCACCTGCTGGCCTGGAACAGATCGTACTTACCTGCACGGTGGGTGCTTTTGTTTCATTTTCTTTTGCTGTACTTTATTTTCGCAGTTTTTATAATAAACACGGATTCGTTCAATAGTTAGGTGAAATATGTAAATCATTTTAACAGTAACTCATACTTGCATGGGACCTTTTTAGTTTAAAGCATGATTCTGCTTGACCCTTATCTATACGGCTCCTAGCCAGAGAGGTGGGACTGGGCGTGGAGTGTTAGGCTAGAGACAGAAAGCATTTGGATTTTTGCCTATTTGAATAGTTTCTTGCCCCAGGTGATCTGAAATAATGTGGCTGTACTATATAACTTTTTGGATTAATTGCTTTCTTTGGTGATTCTGGCAAATAAATATTTGCCTTAATTTTTTTTTAAAAAGTTTATTTCCAACATCTTTGTAATGGTTAAACTAAGGCTTTCCAAGTATGTGGAAAAAGATTAGAGTAAGTATGTGGACTCTAACGTGTCTACTCAACATCTTTGGCATGTACCAGGGGAAATACAATTAATCTTCTTTCTCCCAGAGGTTGATGTAAATAGGCCTCATTTTGAAGGACGTGATGTGGTTCTAGCATGCTCCCTCCCAGAACTCATGTCGTGTACACTCTAAGATTAGATACTAAAATGTAATTCCCACTCTCTGTGACCCAGGGCAATTCACTTTACTTCTTTGCCTCAATTTCTTATCTGTTCTGTGGGGATGACAATATCTTCTTTTGTCAGGGACAGGAATTATTATGAGAAAAGAGTTGATAAAGTGCCTGAGGGTAGCTCGGTATCGTATAGGAAATAGATTAGATAAATCCTGTAGTAACAGCGATTAGAGAGAAATTTATTTTAGCATTGAGCACAGTGAGCCATTAGGTACCCTGATGAATTTCTACCTAAATTTCTTCAAAATCTTGAGGCTGTTCTTCCATACCCAACTGAAGATGCCTCCTGCCAGCCAGACAAACTGGAAAGAGGGTCTTTCCTGTCTTACATTTCCTTCTGTGCTCTAAAGCCATCCTCATAACCAGAGTAGTAACAGCTGAGCTTCTACTTAAGAGAAACCTAAAGAGGTGAAGGGGAGAGAAGAGTTGGTGATGGGCAAGCTGTGTCCACCATCTTGGCCACACAGTGTCCTTTATCAGGACACTTCAATTCTCTCGATGGAGCCCAGTTTGCATTAATTGCTAGGTACACTCTATTATGCATGCTGAGCTTAGAGTCTGCCCAAATTCCCTTTCCTAGCCAGCCAGTGGCATGGTAGTGAAGGCGGCTGGATCCCATGTGGCTGACTACATAGTTCAAGTCCCAGATCTAGTGGCTTGGGAAACATGCTAGATGTATGTGTAAGCATGTCCAAAATCCTGAAAGGAGAATGGAGGAGAAGGGAATGGTGGTGTGGTCATCCCCACTGGAGAGTGCTTTCTCACTTTCCCTCTCTTTCTCTGGTGAGCACACATGCCCTAAAGCAAAACTTAAAAAAAAATAGTAATAATAAAATAAAATTCTCTTTCTTAGCCATGGAAAATTCTGGCAAACCAGGCTAGTACTTATTTTATTTTATTGTTTGGGTTGGTACTTATTTTTTTTTTAAAAAGTCGTTTTCCTTAAAGTTTTTATCCAGGACTTAATTTTGTCTAATATATTTCACTTCATAGCCTTAGCCTATCAGAGTCTTTTTAGACTTAGATTTCATCATCCAACATTTATATCATCTGAGAATCTGATACTCACACCATGTGAAAATGTAACATGTTTTTGATGGAAATGTTGAAAAGGTTAGTGCCAAGTGCTGCACAAGCATGCCACCAAAAACTTCTGTCCAAGCTTATTTGACAAACATGTGTATAATGCTGACTAAACGCCAGGGGTTGTACTTTGCGCAACAACCCAGTGAGGTACTATTATTTCAGTTCTTTTTACATCTAGGGAAACTGAGGCACAGATAAGTCAAGTTTATGTGCAATATTGTGAATATGGTTATTCACCTAATTCTCCTAAAATCCAATCTTTCAGGACTAGCAGATGACACAATGGTTATGTCGCTGGACTCCCATGTAGTGTCTGCAGTTCAAGTCCCGGACCAGGCAACTTAAACTCACACCAGGCACGTGTGCATGCATGCCCAAAATCCTGAGAGGAAAATGGAGGAGAAGGGATTACGGCATGACCATCCTTCCTGGGGGGTGATTTCTCGCTTCCTGTCTTATCTGTCTCACTCTGTCTTTCTGACAAGTTCACATGCCCTATTGAAAAAAAATCCAATCTTTTCGTGAGGATATTATGACATTTTTGTCAAATACCTTTCAAAATGAAGATAGGTTCCTAAGCTACCTGTCTAGAAATATCTTCTCTTATACCTCCACCTCCCAAGGAAAATGAGGGCAGGTGGATGAGACTTGTTTTTTTGTTTTTGTTTTTTTTAAATTTGGCTGGAGGGTGCGTGCACTTGCTAGAGGGAGGCAGAGGATGACAGTAAGAGAAGGAAAGCGAGAAAGCACCCACTATGGGGAACAGTCATGCCACAATCTCTCCTCTTTATTTCTCCCTCCTTTTTAGGATTTTGGGCACATGTGTGCATCCCCAACTTGAGCCACTTGGTCGGGCATGTGGGGTCCAATGCCCTGAACTACAAGCTGGCCTGAGACTTGTTGAATGCATGTCAGTGCTTCTTTTGACGTGCTGGAAATAGAGAAATGATTTACTAATAGAGGCTGGAAAAAAAACAGTTTATGAAAATTTTCTATGTGAGAGGTGCTATATTTTATATACAGTATTATTTGTATGTATTATCTCATTTAATCCTTACCGAAAAATTTTAAAATATGCTCACCATACTGCCATTAAATGGCAGAACCAAGATTCGAATCTCCTACAGTTTTTGCTGGGAATCAGCCTCAGTATATACCATAATTCACCTTTCACCCTTTTGGGAAGCTAGTGTCTTGGCTTCGTACCTTTGTCAACTTTGTTTTTTCCATGATTTCTCAAAATATACTGGCAGTTTACATATGCACATTTTTTTAGTGTCCTGGAATTATAATTCATTTAGACCCTCAGGACTTGAATTCATTTGAAATGTCCAAACAAGTCTGCAACTTTCCCATTTTCTTTTCTAGTTTTTGAAGTCACCTATTAATCATATTTCTGATTTGAATATTATTTTTCTTGATGGAAGAGATTGAATAGAGATCATTTTTAGTGACTTTATTTCCTTACTAAGAAGAAATCCGTATTAAAAGTCTCATTTCAGATTATCTAGTTAGAGTTTTGCTAAACTGAACTATTATGGCTAATTCAGCCTTTTTGGAATTATTAAAATGTAGTCACTTCATTTTCTTTTTTTTTTTTTCTTATTAGAAGACTAATTCCATATTTCATTTGATTGATTCTCTGTGGAATGTGGGCTTATAATGAAAACAATAGGAGTTTCCACAAAGCAGTTTATAAGTATATAATACCTTCCAGCAGGCTCTAATCCTGTCCTGCTAATCCAATTTGTGTTTAAGTAGCTCCTTCATGTCAAAGATGGCGCTACTGGCTCACCTTCCCAAGCATGGATGATGAAAAGACTGCCTCACTCCCTTATCTTTTCCTTTGCATTATTAAATGGATGAGGAGGTATGGGGCTGTCTAAGTCACAGCTTGCTGGGCCATAGTAAAATATGCCAAGTAACGTGCAGACTTCTGGTGATTCACCATGACAACGGGTGAGACCAAGAAGATAGGGGTGGAGAAAGTCAAGGCAGGATTCCAGAGCTGTTGTTCCAGTTTTAAATATTTAAATAACTATTTACATTTATTTAATATTTAAGTTTAAGTATCAACATTTAAATAAATACTTAATCTTGAAGTACATATTGAGTATCTACTCAACTAGGTCCCATAGCAGGCAAGAGAGATACGAAGATGGTTGTATCGTTCTCAAACCTGAGGAGATACAAATTAGTG